AAAAAAAAAAATCCATCACTTGCAAGAATAAATTCAAATAACTGAAATCAGAGAAATCTTCATATCAAAGTTTAGAGTGAGAGAGTTTTATATATTACTTTAACTTAAAGTTTCATGAAAATTCCTTCATTATTCAAATTATAATTTTAAATAAATGCATAATATTTGATCTTAAGAATAACAGAAGTTGCTGGATGTAACTAAGTCACTTTCAAATTTTGCTATTTAAATAACTTTACAAGCCATCTTTGTACAAAATCTTTGTCTGCTTCTTGATTAAACAGGATAAATTTCCAGAAATATGATTACTGAATCAATTACTATAGATATTTGAAAGGATCTTGGTACATCTTGCCAAACCTGTTCTAACATATACTCCCAAGAGTACTGGATATTATAATTAGAATAAAGTATTTTTCTAATTGGAAAAAATACCAGTGTCATAAATGAACAAAAAAGTAATATTCTGGGGGGAGATGGTGAAGCAGGGTTAAAGGAAATTTTAAAAAATCAGGACAGACAACCAAGTAAAATGTTTGATTCTTTTTTTTTTAAGATTTATTTATTTATGCATACAAACCTGGGGTAAAGCCCAGAGATGCAGGGGAGGTGAGAGGATTCACCAGAGACAGAGTGGGGAGCAGAACAGGCCAACTGACGAACACCACTGAAGGGAGCAGTGGGCGGGTCAGGAGAGGTCTGCCATGCCATGTGGATCACCTCTGGGGCAGGAATCGAACTCATGCTGAGGCGCTGTTAGCTTCTTAGTGCTGTGCTTTAACCTAATGCGTCACCAGTGAGGGCCCAAAATGTTTGATTCTTAATTAGATTATACAGGAGGAGGAAATGGTTCTCAAAATAGTTGGGGGGGGGGGGAATTAGGGAATTTCTAATATGGGAAGTATATTAGATATTATTGTATCAATGTTGAATTTCTTGACAATGGCATTTTGTTTATGTAGTCTGTCTTAGCCCTTAGAAATGCTGATATGTTGTGAAATCTAATTCAGAAAATACCATGCCTATTTTTGTGTATGTATATCTAGAAATAGAGATAGCCATATTGAGGGGTGGGTAGGAGGGAGTCCAGATATGGCAAAATGTTAATTATTGAATCAAGCAAAGGGAAACAGGTGCTCACTGCACTATTCTTTCAATTTTTTTGTAAGTTTAAAATTTCTCAAAATAAAAAGATATGTGGAAGCAGTCAAAAGATAGGAATAGACCATCATAGAAAAATGGGTTAGCCAGTAAGCCTATAAAAAATGCATGAGTATTAATAAACCTGTTGATTATTTATGGCCTTTTATTTCTTCCCACTTTGCATTTGCTATTTTAATACTTTAACTGCATTTTGTCAAATAAGCCCATAAAGGGATAGGAAATGAAATCCAATCATTTCATTTCACTTCCCTAAAAGGTATAAAAGATTCAAAAGTGGGCTAGTAGCACACAGGTTAAAGCACAACACTGTGAAGCTGTCACAGTCACTGTAGCACGAGTTCGATCCCCAGCCTGGGGGTGACCCACATGGCATGGCAGACTTCTCCTGACCCACCCCGCCCCACCACCCTCACCACCTCTGCTCCCCTCAGCGGTGTATTTCAGTGTATTTACCTGTTCTACTCCCCACTCTGTCTCTGGTGAATCCTCTCACCCCCCACACCTCTGGCCTGTACCACAGTACTGTATGTATAAATAAATCAAATACTAGGAATACAAAATGGAAATTTTCCATGTTTTTAAAAAATTTTGTGTTATTGTCTTATAATATTTTATAGGTTCTCTGATATAGGATATATGCACAGGGTAGTATGAAAGTACAGAAGAGACACACCTCAGGTAGACTTGGGAAAAGGAAGAAACATCAGAAGACCTCCCAGAGTTAATAACACTGAAGCTGAGATTTTAAGAACAATAATAGATTAATGGGTGACAAAAAGGAAAAAATCATTTGTCCTGGGTAAAAGCTAGCAAATGGAGAAAAAAGATGAGCACCTTGCCCTACTAAAGTCACACAAAACCAAAAGGCCTTTTCCAAAGTTAAAGTGCAAACAGTCACTGGGAATATGAGCCTCAACAGGTATGATTCTGGAATACTTTTTATGCAAAGTACATTTCCACCCTCCCCAACTTAAAATAAGCCACAGTTTAGAAAAAAACACGTAGTTAAGTGGCAGAAACGAGTTTCTCACTTACAACACTGGGCGGCAGCAGTGGGCAATGGTTTCCTCTGGCTTTCTTCTTGAATAGAATACTAGAAACAGAAAGGAGAAAAAAACATACATAATAAGAGGTCTAAGTAGAAAAGAAAAAGTCACAGTAACTTGTAAGAAAGATTTAGCATTTGACTGGAGTCAAATTTTTTACTGAACAGAGCAGACCATGCTGTTGATTGCCCTCTATGATCCTGACATAGAGGCCAGACTATCAAATATGGATCTGGCGCAATGCCACAGACTACAGCAGGATAGCAGACTATTGGTCTTGACAAGAGGGTCCTGGACACCCTTTTGGTTTGGTCATAAAGCTGTAGAATGCTTAGTCTTACAAGTATTTTTGGTGTCATAAGAGGAAACAGAAGACACAGCGGACTGAATTTGGATTATATATGGGATAATATATAAATTTCTTCATTTGGGTAGTCAAATTGAAAACCTCTCTGAGACTAGGTTTTCTGCTCTTTAAAAATAAAAGTGTTTCGGGGCCCTCCCTGGTGGCGCAGTGGGTTAAAGCACTGCACTAAGAAGCTTAAGCCACTTCCGCAGGAGTTTGATTCCCGCCTGCCCCAGAGGTGATCCACATGGCAAGGCAGACCTCTCCTGACCCGCCCACTGCTCCCCTCAGCAGTGTACTTTGTTGATCTGCCTGTTCTGCTCCCCTCTCTGTGTCTAGTGAATCCTCTCACCCTCTGCATCTCTGGCCTGTACCCCAGCTCTATATGAATAAATAAATAAATCTTAAAAATAAAAAAATAATAAAAGTGTTTCTTCTATACAAGGACATTTGGGAAGAGAAATTGCTTATTTAAACATGTAATACAACATGCAGTGTCTACTACCAGAGTCCCCCTGCCACTTTCTACTGTAACCTCTCCAACCTAATCCACCATCATCACCAACAGAGAGTACTGAAGTCATTTTTAAAATTTCTATAAAAGAGAACACAACTAAGTGCAAGTCTTGAGGATGAGCAGGATTTAGGAAGGCAAAACAAAAAGTGAAAGGTATAAACAAGTTAGCAGAAGTACATAGAGTCTAGAAGACAGAATAATTTGGTTCAGGGCCCATGGAAAGACATAAAATTTGGGGTTCTCTTCCTGATTGTGCCACCTACTAATGAGCTATGTGATCATGGGCAAATGAGAGCTTTTCTGAAACTGCCAATGAATGAGGCATTCATTCAACAGATTGTTTCGTGAGTTTGCAGCATGTACAAAGCCTTGTTCTAGGTACTAGAGGAATGGAAATTGTAAATCATGGTAAGGTATTTGGATTTTATTCTAGGGTGTTGGATAGTCATTTAGAGTTTAAAAGAGTAACATAATTTAATTAGACATTTAAAAATTACGCTAGCTGTTATATGAAATGAACTAGAAGGAATAGGAGGATAACTAGACTCATTATATTGCAATACTTCAGACACAGGTAAATATATACAGTACCTTACAAGTAATAAACTGATAAAAAGATCAGAGGTAGATAATATTATTACTATTTCCAATAGAGGATGATCACTAGTAAAGCACAGTTTAAATGATGCAACAATATTGACAAAAATGCCAGTGATTAAAACATTTAAAACTTCTTGAATATGAAGCAACCCAATCTAAAATAACAAAGGGATTTTGTAATACATAATAACCATTATAAGCAAAAATGACTTTTGTAGACAATAAGTCTGAAGAAATTCTAAAACCTTAGGTTTTAGACTTAACAGATGAAAGTAACTACTTTAAGAAGCCATTATTTGATTAATTTCTTCCAGGCCCAAGCAAGTATCTATTTATTTTAAAAAATAGAAACAATCTAAGAAAGGGAAGTCACAGATAAATCTCACTGATGAGATTTACATGATATATGCATCCTGAGTATTCTTTTTCTACATGAATTTTACAGATGTATGAAGTGCCTTAATAAAATCCCTTAGTTTTCATGGCTAAAACAGAAAGAAAATAAAATTTCTTAATGTGATTAAAAGATAACTGTTAAATACACAGTAAACAGGGTCCTCTGTGGCACTACAAAGCTATCACAGCTTAAATCCCTGGCCAGGGAGGTGACCCAGTTGGCATGGCAGAGCTCTCCTAATCTGCCCACTGCTCCCCTCAGCAGTTTGTTTCAGTCCATCTGCCTTTTCTGCTCCACACTCTGTCTCTGGTGAATCCTCTCACACCTTGCACCTCTGGCCTGTACCCCAGTTCTGTATGCATAAATAAATCTTTTAAATGAATGAATGAATAGATGAATAAATAAATAAATGGGTTAAAGACAGTACTATCAAGCTATCACCAGCCACTGTATCAGAGTTTAATCCCTGGTAACCCACAGGATGCAGACCTCTTCTGTCTTGCCCATTGTTCCCCCTCAGTGTATTTCAGTACATCTGTCTTTCCTGCTCCCCATCTGTCTCTGGTGAATCCTGTCAACCACCCACCCCCATCCTCTGCACCTCTGGCCTACACTCCAGTTCTTGTATGCATAAATAGTTTTTTTAAAAAATTGTCAATAATTTCCCTTGTAGTCAGGAAAAACTCTCCACTTTGCTACAATTACTAAAAACTATACTGAATCCTTTAAACAGTTTTTTAAAAACAAGCAGAGTAGAGGCAGGGAAGAAAATGGCAGACAGGCTCCTTAAATCATGGCTTTCCTCAGGAATACTGAAGAGAAGCACTCAGAGGGGAAAGCCACATCTAGAACAGAGATGGGAAATGAGGACCAATGTCTCAGCAAGAAGAGAGCCAGAGGGCCCTCCCTGGTAGCGCATTGGGTTAGAGTGCAGCACTGCAGGCTAGCTGTAGCCACCTCAGTGCAAGTTCGATCCCTGACCCTGGAGGTGACCCACACGGTGTGGCAGACCTCTCCTGGCCCGCCCACTGCTCCCCTCAGCAGTGTACTTGGTCAATCTACCTGCTCTGCTCCCTACTCTGCCTCTGGTGAATCCTCTCACCACTGCACCTCTGGCCTGTACCCCAGTTCTATACGCATAAATAAATAAATCTTTAAAAAAGAAGAAGAAGAGTGCCAGACAGCATCAGAAAGGGAAGAAAAGACTGACAAACAGTAAGTCGGGAATGGTGTCAGCTCACTGGGAGGGCTATTAGCCCTTTCCCAGCAGTCCCTAAAGCTTTTCCACTAGACTGGGAAGAAGAAAGTATAATTCACTGTGAGATCATAGCCTGTTCACAGTTGAACAAAAGACACCCAGATGACCAGAGACTAGGTTCAGCAATGGAGAATGGTCTCTGAGGTCTTAGGAGACTCTGTACCCTGGGGGCCAGGGAAGACACAACCTCCAGTCTATACTTGCAGGACACCACAGTGAAACTGGTTTGCTCAGTGGCCTGTTCAGGGCTGCCATGGGGCATGTCATGCATACAGACTTTTCATCAGAGGCTTCTACACTGTGGACTTAGCAGAAATGGGAGTAATGCCCACCACTCCTTCTCTTGTCATGTACAACCTCGGCCTGTGCTCACAAAAAACTGCAAGAATAGGCACCTGTCTAGCACCATTTTAAAGGAGAATTCAACAGTATCAGTCATATCACACAGACCTTTCAGCAGGGTGCTACACATACAGATAGATGGTCAACAGCCACATGAAAAATTGCTCATCACTTATCACTTATGCAAACCAAAACCATAAGGAGACATCATACACCCATGAGAATGGCCCACATCAAAAAGACCAAAACAAGTGTTGGTGAAGATGTTGGGGGAAAGGAACCCTTCCTTGCACACTGTTGGTAGGAATGTAGACTTGTTCAGCCTCTGTGGAAAATAATATGAAGGGACCTCAAAACATTAAAAATAGACCTACTGGCCCTCCCTGGTGGTGCAGCAGGTTAAAGCACTGCACTAAGAAGCTAAAGCCACTTCGCATGAGTTCGATCCCCCTCCTGCCCCAGAAGAGATCCGCATGGTGTGGCAGACTTCTGACCCGCCCGCTGCTCCCCTCAGCAGTGTACTTCGTCGATCTGCCTGTTCTGCTCCCTACTCTGACCCTGGTGAATCCTCTCACCCTCCGCATCTCTGGCCTGTACCCCAGTTCTGTATGAATAAATAAATAAATCTTTAAAAAAAAATTAGACCTACTATATGACCCACCAGTTCCACTTTTAGGTATCTACCTCAAAAAACATCATTTGGAAAACAGAAAACAAGCATAAGTCTAAGAAAATTTCTAGCCAGAGAAGCTTAAGAACACATGACAACTAAATTTAACATATTTCTAGATGGAATCCTGAAAAAGAAAAAAAGGCATAAGGTAAAAAAACTAAGAAAATCTGAAAAACTACAGACTTCTATTTTTTTGGTGATAAACTATAATAAAAAATAACCTCCAAGTTAATAATCATCAATATTGGCTCTTAACTTGTAATAAATGTACTACACACTTAGTAAATATTAAATATAATTTAGTAATATTAAAAGCCAATCTAGCATTATTTCTGTACCATTATGTGTGAGGTGTTAACAGAAGAAACTACAGGAAGGAGACAGGAAAGCAATTATATATCAACAAAAACTCCCTGCTATGTATTTACTATTTAACTCAATCTTTCTGCAAAACCACAACTACCTAAAAGTAGTCTGTTAATAAAAGAACATATATAAAAAAGTTCAAACACTTAAAAAAACATAAGGATTGGAAAGAGGTTAAAAAATTATCATTCAGGCCCTCCCTGGTGGCGCAGCGGGTTAAAGCACAGCACTGAGAAGCTAAAACCACTTCCGCATGAGTTCGATCCCCGCCTGCCGCCTGCCCCGGAGGAGACCACATGGCGAGCCAGACCTCTCCTGACCCGCCCGCTGCTTCCCTCAGCAGTGTACTTCGTCAATCTGCCTGTTCTGCTCCCCACTCTGTCTCTGGTGAAGCCTCTCACCGCCCCTGAGCCTCTGACCTGTACCCCAGTTCTGTATGCACAAATAAATAAATCTAAAAAAAAAAAAAATTATCATTCAAAGATGTAAAATTAGTTCCATGGAAATAAAAGAATCTCCAAATTAAGATACTAAGTGTTTCTGAATAAGATCAAAATTTTAAAAATGAGCAGCAAAGCACTGCCTTACAACAGCCATGACCTATTCAAAATGTAATTTTAAAGTATACCATTCACAAGAGTTAGGAATAAATCTAAGGGAAAAAGTATAAAACCTGCATAAACAAGTAACTTTCCCCCCAATAGCACTTTTCATGTTCTAATATTATATTGTTATATTTTCTGCATATTGCCTATCTATTATCTGATCCATGAGGACAGCGGTCTTTACTCATGTGTTCCAAGCACCTACAACATTGCCTGGTACATCGTGCTTAGTTATTTGGTAAATGAATGAATGAATATTATGAATATTACCAATAAATACAGAAATACAAAATAAAGCCATAATGCTCTATATTCATTAGACTAGCAAAAACTTTCAATGCTGGTAGCATCAAGTATCAGTAAGAATTGAATGAATAAAATGTACTGCAGGAAAATGGAATATAAATTGATATAATCACTTTGGAAAGCAACCTACCAATATTTATAAGATTGAGTAGAACCTTTCACACAATCAAACAATTCTACTTCCAGGTATACACCAGATAGTCTCTCATACATAAATACAAAGAAATAGGTTCCAAGACATTCAGTAGCATGCATATGTAATAGTGAAAATCTAATACCGTTCATGAATAGGAAAAGTAATAATGTTGATTCAACCCAATTCTATAAAATGGTAAATCCCCAAGCCAGTCATTTTTTATTTCTGTGTTCTCTCTCTTCTTTTTTACTGAAGAAACAATACTACATATGATTCAGAGATACAGGATCCCAATTCTTCAGACATATATTATCACACCATATCCAAGTCAGTCTTGACTCAGTGCTATTGGACCCCAAAACACTATGTATGGGCAACGTTATACACTATAGAATTAAAAGATAAATTCAATACTGTGTTTAAGTTGTTTTTTTTTTTTTTGCAAAATTGCAAATACAACAAAATCTTGATAATTACTGAATCTTGAAGATAAGTATAAAAATTACATTTTACTATTCCCTTTATTTTTATGTCTGCTTAATTTTTTTTCATGATTAAAAATAGAGAACGGAAAGAACACAGATGCCAGCTTGAAGAAGCTTCCACTAGCAAAAGATGAAGCTAATTTTAACATCAAAATGCAATAGGTTAAAACATGCCAGATATATAAAAATCCACAAATTCCTAGTGATATGCCACTAAGAAAAGAAAACAACTCTTGGCTTAGATACCAATTCATTAGTCTAAAAATTGATAAAAAGAAGGATTTTTCTCACATGGACTATATTTGAAGAGAATTAAATACATGATTTTTTTAATAGACAAATCACAACTAATACATGATAAAAGAATGACATAATTAGAAAATCATTATTTTGCAAGTCCTAATAAAATAATGGTTATTGTTTGCTTTAAAGTCATTAGGTGAAAGGTTGAAGGGGAGACTTTATAATGCATGAAATAGGTTGACACCAGTTGATTCTACCAAATTTGCCAAACCAGTCAAATTTTAACATCACTAAAAGTGAGACACAGTATCATGTGACTATCAAAGAAAAAACCCTCAATTTAAATCTCAAGCTAATCCTCAAGCTACTGATCTAATTATCTGTTTAAGGGAAGTAAGAGGGGTAGAAGAGAGGGTAGGAAGGGGGAACAGATATAAATAAGAATATACAAAATTCTACAAAACAAAAATGATTTAGACATCATATCCAAATATGTACAAGTGTTGATCCTGAATTGAACAATTCAAATGTGAAGACATCTTTGAGATAATAAAGGGAATCTGAAATCAAGAGTGGTTATCAAACTATACTAAAAAACTATTAAGTTCATTGCGTTAACAGCATTATTTTTTTAAAGTATTACCTGTTAAATATGTTCACTGATGTACTTATAAGTAAGACAAGATAGTATCTGATACTGTTTTTAAATTACTCCCCCACAAAAAAGGAAGCAAAAGTAATTATATATATTTTGCATGTTCAAAATTTTAATAATAAAATTTTTAAGCAGCAGCCACAATAACATTACTTCATACCCACTAGGGAGGCTATAATCAAAAAGATAAAAACAAGCAGTGGTAAGGATGTGGAAAAATTAGAAGTTTTATACAGGGACCTCCCTGGTTGCACAGAGCTCACATTAGCAAGCTATTGCAGCTACTTAACATGAGTTCAATCCCCAGCCAGGGAGGTGAGCCACAGGGTGCAGTAGACTTCTCCTGCCTCATCCATGGCTCCCCTCAACAGTGTATTTCAGTAGATATACCTGTTCTGCTCTGGACTCTGTCTCTGGCGATTCCTCTCACCCACTGCACCTCTGGCCTAAACCCCAGTTCTTGTATGCATAAATAATTCTTTTTTAAAAAAAATTTTTTATACATTGCTGGCAAGAATATAAAATGGCACAGCTACTTTGGAAGAGTCTGGCAGTTTTTCAAACAATTGCTACCATCCGATCCAGCAGTTCTAGTCCTAGTAATGTATTTGAGAACATAAATCCAAACAAAAAGTAATATATGAATATTCACAGCACCATTATCTAGAAAAGCTGAAAAGCGTAAAGAGCCCAATAGTCCATCCATTGATGGATAAATAAAATGTTATATAACAATGAATTATTATTCATCAATAAAAAAGAATGTGAAATACTGATACATATTATGACATGCAAAAAATTGAAACTATTACAATAAATGAAAGAAGACAGTCCACAAGGACCATGGGTTGTATAATTTCATTTACATAAAATGTAGTAAGCAAATGTGCAAATGTGTGGAGACAAAAAGAAGTTTAGTGGCTGCCTCAGGCTGAAAAGATTAGTGTAGACAGCTAAAGTCATAATGTTTATTTAATGGGGCAGTGAAAATGTTTCAAAATTAGTTGTGGTAATGGATGTATAACTGTGAAAATACTAAAAATCACTAAGCTATACATTTTAAATATATGAATAGTACAGTATGTGAACTATATTTTAATAAAGTTGTTCTTTAAAAGTGGGGGATGAGGCCCTCCCTGGTGGCGCAGCCGGTTAAAGCACTGCACTAAGAAGCTTAAGCCACTTACACATGAGTTCTCCGCCGCCTGCCCGGGAGGAGATCCACATGGTGTGGCAGACCTCTCCTGACCTACCCGCTGCTCCCCTCAGCAGTGTACTTTGTCGATCTGCCTGTTCTGCTCCCCCACTCTGTCCCTGGTGAATCCTCTCACCCTCCGCATCTCTGGCCTGTACCCCAGTTCTGTATGAATAAATAAATAAATCTTTAAAAAAAAAAAAAAGTGGGGGATGAAAGAAGTAGCAAAAATCTCATAACCAAGAACCACCATTTTAGGATTTACACAAAACAGCTCAGAGTTTTGTAAGTTACATTTACCTTATATTGTTTTAATACTATACAGTAAAGCCTATAAAATCAAAGGTTTGATGTGTTTCTTTACTTAGAAAACAGAAATTTGAAAGACTCTATATCCCTTTGCATCCAGGCTTCAGGAAAACAAAAAATACAAAGTAGATACAAGGCTCAAGTGGGTTTGACACAGTTATCAAGAGAAGAAAGATTGTAGTTTCAACAAAGAAAAATTAGTGTACTGGCTTGGGCAGGAGAAGAATTATGGAGAGTAATAACAGAAAACCCACTAAAGATCCAGATAAGGGAAAACCCTAAAAAGAGTACACTGTAGTTATCCAATATTCAATTTCTACATCTTTTATTTAACTCATTATGAGTAGCAATGTGTCCCTCAAAAAAAAAAAAAAAAAAGTTGCAATCCCCCATACCTGTGAATGTGAACTTACTTGGAATAAGGTCCCTACAGAGGTTTCCATAGAGTTAATTAACCCAATGACTGGTATCCTTAAAAGATGAATGAAAATTTAGACACAAACACACAAAGAGAATACACTGTGAGTACACACACACAAAGGCAAGTAATAATATAGGCAGAGCTAAGAGTGCACTGTCTACAAGACAAAGAATGGCATGGACTTCCAGGAATCACCAGCAGTAGGAAAGGCATTGGACAGTGTCTTCCTCAGCCTCCAGAAAGAACTGACCTTACCACTTCTGACCTTGATTTCAGAATTCTAGCTTCCAGCACTGAGAGAGTAAATCCCTGTTGTGGTAAATCACCTATTCTATGATACTTTGCTAGGCAGCCTTAGGAAACTAATCTACTAATGAAACTAAGGCTGTTGGGTTTCCTGCACTACTCTGGACCCTGATTAAGTGACAAATCCAGTAGCTCTACCTCATTACTGAGAGCATTCAACAGTACTGAGAATTTCGTCAACAAAACTCTTTTCTTTGTTCTATGGAACTTTTTCTGGTCTTTCATTTCCCCCTCCCTCACTACTTCTCTCTCTCTCTCCAGTTAGGGAAAAAAGGGATAAAGGGCCTTCCAGTGAATTTCAGGAAATCTTTCAGATGCTCATTTTCTTTTCTTTTTTTAAGATTTATTTTATTCATGTATACAGAACTGGGGTACAGGCCAGAGGTGGGGGGATGAGAGAATTCACCAGAGACAGAGTAGGGAGCAGAACATGCAGATTGATGAAGAATTGAGCAGCAGGCAGGTCAGAAGTCTGCCATACCATGTGGGTCACCTCCTTAGCCAGGGATCGAACTCATGCTGTAGTGGCTGTGACTAATTTCACAGCACTACACTTTAACCCACTGTGCCACCAAGGAAGGCCCCAGATGCTCATTTTCTTTAATGTGCTTTAAGCTCTTTCATTCTTCAACATGCTCTAGGTTTCCTCCCTTGACAAACTTTAAGATTTCCCCTGCCCCTCTATGTTACAAATAAGGCAGTTCCTACCTCATTGTCAGTTTCCAAGGCATTGATTTGCTCCAATTTGTAGGTCCAATATCTGGCTTCTTCCTCTGGTATATCTACCAAAAAAAAGAAACCACATTACTGGGGTAATAATTTAACCATGATGCCACCCCAATAAAAATCTCAATGACATTCTTCAAAGAAATAGAAAAAATGTTGATGAGATTCATATGGAACAACAAAAGACCTCGAATAGCCAAAACCCTCATGTCTAAGAAAAATCAAAATGGAAGCATTACAATCCCAAACTTCAAGCTATACTGCAAAGCCATAATAATCAAAACTGCATTGTACTGGAATAAGAATAGACATACAGACCAGTGGACTCGAATGGAAAACTCAGGTATAAACACACAAGTTTATGGACACCTAATTTTTCACAAAGGAGCAAAGAAGATACAATGGAACAAAGAAAATTTGTTCAGCAAATGAAAACTGGGAAAACTGGGAAGCTACGTACATGCAAAAAAATGAAACTAGATCACTGCCTCACTCCAGTCACAAAAATCAACTCGAAGTGGATTAAAGACCTAGACATAAGAATGGAAACCATAAAATACTTGGAAGCAAAGATGGGTCAAACACTACACGACATACACTTCAGTGACATCTTTAAAGACAGAGCACCCAATGCCACAATAGTGAAGGCAAGGATAAATAGATGGGACTACATCAAGTTGAAGAGCTTCTGTACAGCAAGAGACATTACAAAAAACAGACAGCCCACTAATTGGGAAAACATTTTCTCACACAAAAGGACCCAAACATAAATAGGCAATATATGCATATGATACAAAAGTATGTCTTTTAACACCACTTTTCTTCTCTAGAACAAATGACTTTTTTTGATAAATATTTACAGATCTATAAATAGCTCACTTTAAAGAAATAAACACTCATTTGAATAGCTTTATCTCTATCAAGATAAAATTACCTCTTTTCAACCACTATATAGTTTGGGTGTACAGAAATGCCAGAATTTATTTGACTGATCCACATTCACTATAAAAACATTATAGTGAATATCTTTGTAGATTTTATATTATATATGAGTATTTGTAGAAAATACACTCATAAAATGTGTATGTTGTTGCAAAGGACATATATCTTTTAAAAAAAAATAGTATTCACTCTCGTTAGCTCCTTCTCTCCAGTGACAAATTATTTTCCTGACTTTTCACTATCTTCCCCCAGAATGTCAACTTTGTAACTACTCTGCATCTTCCACTTCTAGCTTTCTATAGTAGATTCTACTACTGCTGACTGTTTTCAACTAGTGTGATGATACACGATTAAATTTACACCTTCAGTTTTATCTTAAGCCTCTGCATCTGAGTCTGTTATATAAACAATGCTTACATGCCAACTGATCTTTCGTATCTTACTGTTTTTGCTTTTTTAAAAAAAAATTATTTATGCATCCAGAACTGGGGTACAGGCCAGAGGTGCAGGGGCAGTGAGAGAACTCACCAGAGACAGAGTGGGGAGCAAAACAGGCAGATTGACAAAGTACACTGCTGAGGGGAGCAGTGGACAGACCAGCAGAGGTCTGCTGCACCACGTGAGTCATCTCCTGGCCAGGGAAAGAACTCTCACTGAAGTGGCTGTGGCTAGCTTGTAGTGCTGCACTTTAGCCTGCTGTGCCACCAAGGAGGGCCCTTGAGTTCCTTACTGTAACAATGTAAGCTGCTCTGAAAGTTAATTGTGAAAATTTTTAATAATACTAAGTAATCTAGGCATTAAAATAGTGCTGCTTTCCTAGAGAAAAAAAAACCAACAACTGCATGATGCAATAATAGCAGCCCCAAAAAAGAAACTAAGCCTTCAATGATTTTTTTCCTAACATATCTTATAAAACACATTATTCTATGAATTCAAATGCTACACATTTAGGTGGGTTAATATTCCAAACTGGGCATATATATATATGTCTGTTTTGTGCACCTTTCCCCACCACCACCACCATATAACTGCGTTTTGCCCTTTTCTTCCTCTCCCTCCCCTTTGAAGCTAAGAAGCCTCCCTTCATTTACTAGTGTTACTAGAGTTTTTAGTTTCTATACATAGTTTGTTTTACTTAATCATTCACTGTGTAAATGTCCAATATTTCTCTTTGTCATTCAAAGTTGCTTTATTACACACCATTCCTTGCAATTCTTTCCTTTTTGCTGTAAATAGCAACATTTGGCCTTTCCTTAAGGCTGAACAGTATTTCATTGCTTGACTATATCACATCTTAATACAATCCTCTATCAGTGAGCACTTTGGTCATTTCCATTTCCTAGCCATTCTAAATAATGCTGCAATAAACATATTTTTTGATTTGATAGTTTCATGTTCTTCATCTAAATGCTCAAGAGTGAGATTGCTGGGTCCTCTGGCATTTCCATTTTTAGTTTTTTAAGATAAATCCAGAAAATTTTCCAAAATGGTTGCAATTTTCATTCCCACCAACAATGTAATAAGGTAACTCTTTTTCCAAATCCTCTCCAGAATTTGCTGGAAGCCTTTTTAAAATGATGTCTCATTATTGTTTTGAGCCCCATTTCCCTTACTAAAATTGATGATTTCCTTTTTCCCATATGTTTACTGGATATCCTTTTTCCCATATGTCTATTGGTCTTCTGGATATTTGGTGAGTGCATTGTTTCTTCAGACTTGATGTCCATTTATTAAATGGGTCTTTTTTAAATAGTTAAATTACATAAACTTTTTTACACATCTTGGATACAATTTTGTCAGCGGTATAATGTGTGAATATTTTCTCCCACTGAGTAGGATTTCTTTTTATCTACTTGTATCTTCTTTTGCTGGATAAAAGCTTTTTAATATGAGATAACCCCATTTTCTTATTTTTGCTTTTATTTCCACTACCATGAGGGTTGAGTCTCCAAAAAAATCTTTACCATTGATGTCAAGAAAAATACATCACTAATATTTTCTTTTATATAATTTATTCTTGTAGTCTTTACTACAATAAAGTAGTAATAAAATACAATGACAAAGTTAATTTTTTTTTACATGAGTGTGTTTCAGCTTCATTCTTCTAAATATGGCCTCCAATTTTCCCAGTTCCATCTGTTAGAGAAGATCTCCTTTGTCAGAGAAAAATCCCATTGTATGGTTATGGCTTATTTATTTCTGGGCTTTCCATTCTGTTCCACTGATCTGTGTGTCTATTTTTATTCCAATATTATATTGTTTTAAATACTGGTGCTTTATGATTTAGATTAAAGTCAGGTAATGTGATAACTGTTCTCATTTTCTCAGGATTACTTTTCATATTCAAGACCTTTTATGGGTCCATATAAATTGTAACTGCAATGCTATTTATAGCTGCACAAACTGTGAACAATAAAAATACCTAACTAAGGGAATGGTAAATATGTTACAGTTTAAATATACCCTAAGAGTTTAAATCCTGGCTTTATGACTTACTAGCTATGTGACTTTGGGGCAAAAGATTTAAATACTCTGTGCCTCAATTCCCTTATCTCTAGAATGGAAACAGGTCTACTTCAGATGACTAAATAAAAATTACATAACATATAGAATGCTTAGCTGATATACCCACTAGCACACAGCAATTGTTCAACACATTTACTTTTATGATTGTGCATTCATACAATAAAATTAAATCAGTCACTAAAATTAGATAAATATTTTATATAAAATCTATTGTAACTAAAATTAATGAATAAAACAGGATCCAAAAGTATAATATACAGTATCATTTTATGATAAAATTACACGTATGTAGAAGAAAAAAAATCTCATTTTTTAAAAAAAAATCTACAGTCAATATTGTTAAGAAATTTTTATTTCCTAAAAAAAAATAAGACAAAAACTAGCAGACAAACTATAAATGGGAGACATACAGCAGTGGCAGGTGAGAGAGGGGTATAAAAACGGGAAGCAAGAACACAAGAAACTATGGCAACGGTTCACCACTGACTTGATGGTGGGAATTTTGTGGGGTTTACACCTGAGAGGAGAAATCAAACATTGTACAAAAAATGAACAATAATATAAAACATAGCATATATATAAATAAATATATTTAATTTAAAAATAAAAATGAAATAAAAATGACCTGCACAGCGGGTTAAAGCACAGCACTAAAAAGCTAAAGCCACTTCAGCATGAGTTCAATCCACACTCCAGGAAGGTGACTAAAAATACAAGCAACTAAGTTATAAGCAAGAACTCCAACTGCCTTTCTCTTAACCTGCAATTTGGTCTACCAACATACAAGAACTCTCCCTTTCTATTTCTCTGAAGTAACAGTTGTTCTGAATTCAGTCACTTCTGTGCAAAATGGAAAATCATACTATTTTTGTCTTAATCACCATAAGGTCCAAGATATAAATAGACTGAAATTATAAAACAATAATAAAAATAGTATACTGGAAATATTCATAATGTGAACATTCAAAATTAAACTAAACTGAAACAAAAAAAAAACATTTAAACAAATTCAACAGAAAAAGTTAAGAGTTTAAGAGTTGGGATATAAAGAATGTTGACAAAGATACACAGAAAAGATACCTCAGACTTAGTTGGTAAGAGTATAAATTAGTATAATCATTTTGATGGGGTTTTTTTCTTGTTTTTTAGAAGAAAATTTATTCATTAATGAAGTATCATTATTTTATATCCTTGTTGATTTTTTCACAATATAAGATTTTTTTCCCCTTAGTATGATCATCATAATTCTCCCACCAACAAAGCACCCATAGCTCTCAGTACAATCACTTTGACAAGTAACTTGGTGATACAATAAAAATAATGATGTGCGTACACTTGACCCACTCCTTAAATTCTGCCTTATGGAATTCATCCTAGACTCATAAATCAGCACAGATATGCAAAGCTCTTCATATAGCAGTATGTAATATTAAAAAAAAATACTAGAAACAAACTATAAGGTAAAGGATTGTTTTATAGTATAGGAAGTTGTTCAGGTTAGCAAAATAAATCTTCAAGTGTAACATGGAATACTAAGATCATATGCTTAAGTAGTTTGATCCAAATTGTGTTGAAATAAATTTCAAAAAATAAATTTCTTATGGTTAAACCAAGATACAAGAAAGCTGACAATGTTTTACCTCTGAGGAATGCAAAGTAGAGAAGTAGTTAGAGAAACTTTTAACTTTTAATCCATATATATTTCCCTAGTACTTGAAATATTACTATGAACATGTATTTTATATGATTTTTTAAAAGTTAATTTTTAAGCTATTGTTCAACTTATTAATGCTATTTCAATGTTAAAATGACTACTCATAAGTATATACTCACTTCAATAAAGTAAGTTAAAATATTTCAAAAGAATCACTGATAGAATCTAATAAGCAGATATTTCCTAAGTGGCAATAAATCACCTTAAATAATTAAACAACTTGAAGATAATGCTTACATAATGGGTATTTTAATGAACAGTATTCTGGAATCTACTCTACACTGTCCCTGGCTAGGGCTATAGGGAACAGAGTAGAACAAGAAAATGTCATCAAAGGAGGTAAATAAGAAGACAACAAAATACATTCATGAAACAACCAGTTAGCAGTTTTAAACAATATGGTAAAAAGGACACTCACCAAAAGGCAACTCAAATCTTGTATCAAGCAAAATTTTATGGGGAGTTGGATTTTTAGTTCCATAAATCTCATCATCTTTTATTAATGTCTCTGCCTCCAAGGTGGACCACTCACCAGGCCCTTCCTAGAAAACAGAGATATAAGATTAAACTTGACTCTTTCATGATGCCCTTACTGGTTTAGGTAATCAGGTGTTTTCTTTAAAGTTCCTTCTTAGAAAGCTTCTGAGGACCACTCATGCCCTGATAAGACAAACATGTCACTGTCACCAACCGCCACTGTTACATGTGGCTTCTGTCATCCCTCTTTAGTGGAAAGCAGCTTTCACTGTATTCTACTCACTGAGAATAACATTTCCAGATTACTAAACTCAAAAACCTAGCATCTTCATGGATCAATACTTACTTTGCCCAACTCTTAATAACTGTGTCACATATGTGGTACTACAGTAAAGAATGACTAACATTAAACTAAAGTGAACTGCCCATTTGCAATAGAGACTTAACCAAAACTAAAAGAAATTTGGAGAAGAGAGGAACACCATCTCCATTCCTACTCCAAAAAGAAAAGTCACAGCCAATGTTAAAGCCAGTAGGAATAGAATAGCTCTGCCCAGTTCAAAATGAGTACCTATGGGAAAATGTTATCTGAATTACACTCTAATCAGGAAAACGGAGTGGGAGTTCAGTTTTGAAAATAATATGTAGAAATGTATGAATAGCAATCATCAAGATTGGTGATTCCTAAAACCCTGTTAGGATTACATGAGAACGGGCTGAAATCAATTCTCTGGGCATTGGTGACTAGAATAATCAAAACAGAAAAGAGGCCAAGAAGCCTGACAGGATTCCTCCCAGGATAGTGTCATAGAGGGAAAATGTACAAACATTAAGTACCCTAGATCTCTATCTAGGTATCTATCTAGAACATTCTCACTCTCATTCATATCCATAGTCTCTCTCTTTCTCACTTTCTCTTCCACACACACCCAAATCATAAGTTACTAACTATCTGATAAGAGAAAACAACACCTAAATAAAAACCCCTGAACCTCTGAAGGAGGCTAAGACTGATTAGATACCTTCTAACAAGAAAGGAAATATAACTGATATGCACGGATAAATATCAGCTAAAATGGAACCAGGATGGGGAGAAGAAGATACAGAATCACACTTCCCAATGGGCAGTGCACTGACTGACCTCATCCGACTGACGAATAGTCTTCAATGCAATCCACACGGTCCCCACCATGGTGTCCCAGATGAGTCCTTTGTTCCATACCTCTACACTTAGACCCAAGTCCAGTCGACTAATCTCACTAAAAGAAAGAAGAAAATACTTTAAAGGAAATCAGTAACAAGGAATAAATAACTAATTCCCTTATTTTGATAAATCTTTACTACTTTCTCACCAGGATCCTGAAAAGGAAAAATAAAATATCCCAGAATTCTACAGCCATTCTTTAGACTATTAGAAACTTATAAAGGTATCCATAGAAAAATGCCTTTGTTAGTGTGTTCCCTCCCCTTTGGAGACACAATCAGCTAATGTTTCACAAAAATGTTACCCATATGTAACAATTTGACATGTTTTATTGTTAATAACAACACCCTCTCTCTCCTCCCAATTTATGCCTATGGACTGTATATAGGAAACTTTTCTAAAAAGGTAAGTCTTCTTTAAAAGATTCATGATTCGGCCCTCCCTGGTGGCGCAGCGGGTTAAAGCACAGCACTGAGAATCTAAAGCCGCTTCCGCATGAGTTCGATTCCCGCCTGCCCCGGAGGTGACCACATGGCGTGGCAGGCCTCTCCTGACCCGCCCGCTGCTCCCCTCAGCAGTGTACTTCGTCGATCTGCCTGTTCTGCTCCCCACTCTGTCTCTGGTGAAGCCTCTCGCCACCCCTGAGCCTCTGGCCTGTGCCCCAGTTCTGTATGAACAAATAAATAAATCTTTAAAAAAAAATGTGGTAATAGAATATTGCTCAGTAAATAGAATATTGCTGAGCAATATTCTATTTTTTTTTGGTTACTCAGCAACCAAAAAAAGAAACACATGCCTTTTGTAGCAACATGGATAGAGCTGGAAAAGATCATGCTCCGTGAAATAAGCCAGGAAGGAAAGGAAAAATACCGGATGGTTTCACTCATAGCTGGAATATAACAGACCAGTCAAGAAAATGATAATAATAATAATGAACAGCTATATACCAGAGACATTTTATGGGGGTGGAGTGGGGAATGGGATCAAAAACAGTGGGGGGAAGGAAATGCACTGAACCATGGTGATGGCACATGGGTGATTTGGTGATGGGAAGCCCAAAGGGATTACAACTGAGATGGATAAATGCACAAAATGATGTAAAAATAAACTATTACATTATTCAAAAAAAGGAATATCAAGCTTTACAAGTCAGAGTTTACAATGACAATATACAAAATGTGTGTCGCAGGTAAGAAATTCTATTAATATTTGCTCATTTTTATTAATTAGAGGAAAACAAGACATCTATTAATTAGCTAAATGTAGGAGTTTTGCTAAAGCAAAAAGAATTTTGAACACAGAAATCTTCATCCTCTAAAGCAGGCAACATAGGTATATATGAGCATATAGTCTCTTACATGCGTAACTACATTCCTTAAAGAAGTCTTGCAAGAATCAAAGAAAGATTGTATTTAATATGATGCTAAGTATTTGTACTACACTAATTCTGACCACTAGATATATGTGTGTAACTAGTATTTTCACCAACAAAATTAGGAGTTACTCACATTCATAATAAATCTTAAGAATAGATTACAGGGCTCTTCCTGGTGATGGAAAGGGTTAAAGCACAGTACTATGAAGCTATCCACAGCCCCTGCGGCACAAGTTCAATACCTGGCCAGGGAGGTGACCCACATGGCACAGCAGACCACTCCTATCTTGCCCATTGCTCCCCTCAATGGAAGCATTGTATATTTCAGTCAGTTTGAGTGTTCTGTTCTCTATTCTGCCTAAGGTGAATCCCTTTACCATGCCCTCACACCTCTGACCTGTACCCCAGTTCTTATATGCATAAATAAAACTTAAAAAAAATTATAAATCCAAAAAGAGAACACAACTATAGATGTACATCATCTGCCACATAATCGCATTTGTTCCTACAACTCTGTAATTTTTAAAAAGATATGTAATATATGTTAACATATGTTAACATAAATATAATTTAAATATTTAACATGTTTTATAAGGCTTATATATATATATGTTCTACTTGCGAATTCCCTTACAAAAATATCAAACACTGTAAGCCTACTGCTGCAAAATACTTACAACATAAAATCTTGTTCCCAGGAAGGTTGATCCCCACGAACTGCTACAGTTGTGCTCTTTACATTCTGCACTTTCAGAGTCACATATGTGTTAAATTTATCTTAAAAAATATATGAAATGAAGATACAATTAGTATTAAGATTGTTATCCAATATCATACAGCCTTTGTAATTAAGTGATATCCAAATTAAAGTATTACACATAGAAGAAAAAATGAACCATATTGTACAGTATAGAATAATTCTAAGCATAGTAGTTATAAAAATTATAAAACACTACTATCTTTAAAAGCATAATCAGTGTTTTTCATGTTTATTATCCTTTTATTTAACTCACTAATCATACATTACCACACATATAAACTAAAACAAAAGCTTCATGAGATACCAGATGTAATACATTGATATTTCCTATTCTAATTTATCCACATTAAAATGTTAATAACCACCAACTAAATTTATTTTATAGCCCACCTATAGCTTAGATAAGAAAATAATAGTTTTAATAGAAAAGATATATAAATTTAATAAAACACAGGAAGAAATAAGGGAGAAAGTGATAAAGAATTATAGCAGACAAAAGGATTTCCTCTTACTGTTGACAGGGACAAGAATTGAGAAATCCTCATAAAGAATGTGGATTTCAAACAATCTATTCAGACTGGCCTATAACACAACTTTAAAAAAATATATTATCAAAGAACTGGAAAAAGGATATTCTTTAACCTGACAGTATAAGTTGAATACTAAACAAAGATAGGTATCCTGAAACTTACAGGTCATTAGTATGACCTACTGAAATTCACCCCACTACCTTCACAAGAGTCAATTGAGAGTTCACTTTTTTATGTATGAAATTAATTATAACTTTATAAAATGGAAAAAGAGCGTCATTTTGAGCTCATCAAGTTGACAAAGATTGTTTAAAATGTCTACTACCTGGCCCTCCCTGGTGGTGCAGCGGGTTAAAGCACTGCACTAAGAAGCTTAAGCCACTTCCACATGAGTTCGATCCCCGCCAGCCCCGGAGGTGACCACATGGCGTGGCAGACCTCTCCTGACCCCCCCGCTGCTCCCCTCAGGAGTGTACTTCGTCGATCTGCCTCTTCTGCTCCCTGCTCTGTCCCTGGTGAATCCTCTCACCCTCTGCATCTCTGGCCTGTACCCCAGCTCTGTATGAATAAAAAAAAAAAATTTTTTTTTAAATGTCTACTACCTAATGTTAGAACTGTGATAAACTTGGCCTTGTTATGCACTTCTAAAAGTCAGCAAATCTTTCTTCTGAAATATTATTGAAGAGTATATTATTTCAGGAGCCACCATCTACCAGGAAATCACCTAAATGGCAACACAAAGGGAAACAGGCATCTGCTATATGCTCTCTAGCCTATCAGAAAACATGGAATTGTTCCTTTGGCCACATGTATATGTGAATCTAAAAGAAAGATGACGTAGACATAAAAGGATGGTCACTGTTCAAAAAGGAATGCCCCACAAATATTACCATGGCAACACTGGGAGTCTGTGTACTAACATTCAGTTGGCATTATTTTAAACAAAAATAGCAAGATTCTTACCAAGAGAACATTGTGAAAACTGAGATAGCTTCCTGAACATATGAAAGAATATGATCAGATAAAAAAAGAACACTAAAGAGTAAGGCACTTGGGTTCAACTGAAGTGCCAGTCTGCTCCTCCTTGATTAGCACACTTTGTGAGCCCCAATGGAAAGGAGCCTGAATGCTAAAATCCATTCCCTATGGATTTGTGGCAGAGTTAAGTGTGAAAATTTAAAAATAAAAAAATAAAAGCCTTTTTGGACTGTTAAAAAAAAAAGAAGATATTACTTTATACTCATTAACAAAGAAAGTTTACTACAATTATACTAAAATTATGTAAGGATATAAGTCCACCGCATAAGAAATTCCCACCTACATCTAATAGTAGCAGTGCAGTAGACACACTGAACTATGCTTTTCATCATAGGATTTTTTTTTTTTAAAGATTTATTTATTTGTACATACAGAACTGGGGTACAGGCCAGAGACTCAGGGGCAGTGAGAGACTTCACCAGAGACAGAGCGGGGAGCAGAACAGGCAGATCAACGAAGTACACTGCTGAGGGGAGCAGCGGGCGGGTCAGGAGAGGTCTGCCTCGCCATGTGGTCACCTCCGGGGCAGGCGGGAATCGAACTCATGCGGAAGTGGCTTTAGCTTCTCAGTGCTGTGCTTTAACCCGCTGCGCCACCAGGGAGGGCCCAATCATAGGATTTTTTTAACTCCACTCCCATATCTAATCAAAGTTGACCAAGACCAGAGGTAGATGCCACTCAATAGCACCCAAAAATGGGCTGGTTAAAAGCTGAGACAAGCGTGATCCTCTCCCTATATTTGTGTACAGATAACCCAAATATGGATAATTGGTAGTTGGTGCCAAAACTTCACTGGAGCAGTCATTATAGGTTGTGTACCGAACAGATAACCTAGAAAGCCAGTGGGAAAGGAACAGTGAACAGAGCAAGTTCTCAGAAAGAAACCCTTAACCCAGACCAGTGGAAAAAGCAATAAGCTCAAAAACACTTGAGTTTCTGTTGCACACAAGATTCAGTTTTTTTATTTTTTATTTTATTTTGGTTTATGCTGCTGATTACCGTTTTTTTTAATTTATATTTATTTTACATCATTCTTTTTGTACAATGTACGGTTTCTTTTCTCAGATGTAGCTCTCTCATATAATTCCCTCCAATTCATCCGTGCACCATCACCATAGTCTGGTGTGCTCTTCCCTCCCATATTTTGATCCTTCTTCTTCCTCCTCCCCAGCAAATTTATAGATGCCTGCAAATTTTGTTTATTTATTATAATTTGTTCCCTGGTCCTTTACTTGGTCCCCCTATGTTCTTCCTATAAGTGATGCTATCTGGTATATTTCTTTTCCTTCTGACCTATTTCACTGAGCATAATCCCTTCTAGTTCCATCCATATTGCTGTGAATAGCTGTTTGTTGAGTAATATTCCATTTTGCATTTGTATCACATGTTCTTGACCCAGTCATCTATTTTGGGGCATCTGGATTGTTTCCACAGCTTACCTATCGTGAATAGTGCTGCAATAACATAGGAGTGCAGGTATCATTTTGAATTAATATTTTTGTGCCCTTTGGGTAAGTCCCTATGAATTGCTGGGTCATATGGTAGCTCTGTTTTTAGGAGTTTCAGGAACCTCCACACAGCTTTCCGTAGTGGTTAGACCAATTTGCATTATTCCCACCAGTAGTAAAAGGGAGTTCCTTTTTCTCCACATCCCCACCAACATTTGTTATTTAAAAAAAAAAAATGAGTTTTTTTAATATGTGCCATTCTCACTGGTGTAATGTGGTATCTCACCTTGGTTTTGATTTGCATTTACCTGACTATAAAGGGTGTTGAATATTTTTTCATATACTTGTTCATATATCTGCATTTCCTCTTTGGATAAATGTCTTTTAGCTATTCTGCCCATTTTCTGACTGGATTGTTTACCTTTTGTTGTTGTTGTTAATAAGTTATGTGAGCTCTTTGCAGATCTTTGTGATCAGTCCCTTAACAGCTGTATTGTGTGCAAAAACTTTCTCCCACTCAGTGGGTGTCTCTTTGTTTTGATTAATGTCTCTTTTGCTGTACAGAAGCTTTTTAATGTAATATAATCCCAGCTGTTCATCTTTTACTTGACTTTCTTTGCATTGGGAGATGTGTCTTTATAGATGTTACTGAGATGTATGCAAGACTCTAAATAATTACTCCTAAGTCCTGAACTTGAATTGGTCAAGAGATAAGGGACTAATTATTTACTAGATAAAAAGAGATGTGAGAGGGAAGGTAGAAGAAAGGGAGAGGAAGAGAGAAAAGGTGTGAGAGATTTCTTTAATGTTTTACAGCAGTAGAATTTTTTTCCCCAGCTTACTAAAAAGTATAATGGACAATTAAAATCTGTATTTATTTAAGGTATAGTATAGATTAAAAAATATCACCATAATCAAAAAATTAACATATTCAGTAAGATAATACATAGTTATCATTTTCTGGGGTGGTAGGAGAGAAGGAATGAGTGTTTGTTGAGAACACTTAAAACCTATTCTTAGCAAATTTCAAGCATATAGTATTTGAGAAGTATAAATACATTCTTGTGCATTAAATCTCCAGAAATCACTATTTTTTATAACTAAAACTTTGTACCCTCCTCAACATCTCTTCATATGACTTTTTTTAATAATAAACTAACATCTCCTCATATTACTTTTTTAAATAATTTAATAAATTCAGTGAATTTAATCAATGAATTAAGTGAAATTAATAATGTTTTAAAGACTGCTTTCAAATCATAGCATGTATGGGAGATAAAGAATATTAAAAAGTAATGGCTAACCTTACCTGGTGAACCCTGGAATTTGGCTCTTTTAACTGTAAGAGAAAAAAAAAATATGCCATGAAGAATTTTTGCAAATTTATTTAACCAACATTTCCTGAGGACATGCTATATGCCAAGGTAAGACGTAGGACTTTTTTTTTTTTAAGATTTATTTAGTTATGCATACAAAAACTGGGGTATGAGCCAGAGGTATAGAGTGTGAGAGGAACCACCAGAGAAAGAGTGGGGAGCAGAACAGGTGGACTGGCTGAAACACACTTGCTAAGAGCAGAGGAGAGACAGGAAAGGTCCCCTGCACTAAGTGAGTCAGCTCCCTGGCCATATATATTTCCATTATTTAAAACCCATCATAGACACCCCATTCCTTTTACGACAAAAGGAGAGGATTACAGGCCAAACCTAGAAAATAAGATGAGAAGTAACTTTTTCTTTGGGAATAAACACATATTAAGAGGAGTTCCTGTTTAAAAAAATATCACTTATATTGTAAGTTGGAAATGGAAGACATTATCTTAGGCAACGATTCTAAATTCTCTATGGAAAAAAATTTCTAGCTCCTTAAAGTGGTTTGATTTTTTATTTGTACCAATAAAATTTGATTAAACATGTAAAAACGAGACGTTCCTATTCAAACGTTCACATAGAATTCTATTCCAAAACATTAGGGCAGAATGTACCAGACAGAAACCCACACTGGAACTGTAGCATGTCAGCTCCTAGGAAAGGTGAAAGACAGAATCAGAAAAACTGCAAAACTCCAGAAAACACTAAAGGAGAGGGCTAAGTGTCATGGGGGGGGGGGGGAGCTAAGTGTCACGGAAATCCCTAAGAAGGATACTTGAAGTTACAGATCTGCCTTGCTTCTTGTCCTGCATTATAGCTGAAAGCTGTAGTTTAGCTGACATCCAAACACTGTTTAGTACTTCCAAGAGACAGATTATTAAGTACCTTTCACAAGGCTCTCTACATTACAGATAGCACTTAGTACTAAAATATATTTCTCTTTATTGAATTTATCTCCCACTGAACTGCCCTTTGTAAGCTCAAGTCAATGACTTCCCAATTATTTCTCATTTATTTCAAGGATTACCACACAACCTCAGTAGTTAAGACAGTGCAGTAGTGGCATAGATATAAAAACAGACATAAATCAATGGGACAAAGATAAATATAGATATATAAAGTATACAGTTATATAACTATAGTAATATACTGTATGCAAGCAAAAAATGTTATAAGGTGCCCTCCTGGTGGTGCAAAGGGTTAAATCACAGCTCTATGAAGCTATCTGCAGCCACTGCAGCACCAGTTTGATCTCCGGCCAGGGAGCTAATCTGCATGGTGCAGCAGACCTTATCCTGTCTCACCTGCTACTCCTCTCTGCAGCATGTTTCAGTTGATCTGCCTGTTCTGCTCACAAATCTGCCTCTGGTGAATCCACTCACCCCCTACACTTCTGGCCTACACTCTAGCTTTTGTATGCATAAATAAATCTCTTTAAAAAAAATGTTGTCAAACTAAAAATAAGAGCTAAACTGTATAACATCTAGAAGAAAAAAGAGAAAAATCTTAGTGAACTTAGGTTAAGCTGGATACAAAAACTGATATTCAAAATAAAAAATGACTCTTTCATTGCTGGTTTAAATCGAGCCCCATACATTGCTCTGACACTATTGCTGTTGCCATGACTTAGAATTTGCACCAGCACCATTCCCCTCCTTCCATAATTCTGCCACCATGAAGGATGTGAACAAGTAGAACATAGAGGAATTCACAGAGTGATCCAGGACCAATGCAAGAAAGAATCAACAAGATGACAGTAAAATGTCTATTGAGGGACTGAATAGGGATAAGCAAGCAAGATCTGACTGGATATTCTTGATTTATAGACTACAATTAAAGCAAATCCAGTCACTAGAAGATCAAGAGGATATAGATTTGAACCTTTCAAGATCAAGTATTAATAAGGTTTTAAGATACAAAAAACGAAATGATTTCTGTGTATATTTTAGCCCAATACTTCTGTAAAACAAATTAAAGAATATTTTGCTGTCTTTGGAGTAACAGAAAATAGTGAATTTCCCATAAAAGCAAAGACAAATGAAAGAAGAAGATATGTGCTTTATTACATACGTAGAGAAAGAGCCAACTAAAAAAACATTAACAAGCATATATAAACTCATTCTGATGAGTATAAGATCAAAGTTTCACAGCCCAAAGAGGCATATGGATAGCAACAGCAAAAAAGAGGAAGAGGTGGTGGGCAAGGTAGTACTAGGAGGTCATGGCTAAGGCTAGGGTCAAAATGGAACCGAAGATTTAATAACTACTATGATCAAGGATATGAAAATTATAATAGTGCCTACTATAAGTGGTCTAAACTATTGTTGCTTCGGCAGAAATAATTATACTTAGTTTTATGATGGGACCTATGGATATGGACATGTAGAATGCAGTGATCAATAAAGTACTTAGTATTATGCTAAGCAAAGCATCTTGAGGAGTTGGTATTCACCAGTTACCAGCCATACTAAAGGAGAACACTGGGAAAAACAGGAGTTGCTGAAGTAACTCAAATTTCAGGAAAATACTGAATATTGATCGTCTGTTGAGTAAGATGATTATTTTGTAAAATAAAAATAAAAACTTTCTAGCAAACAGTACAACAGTGACTAACTACAACCACCACCAATTGGTTTTCTGTATTTTTACTTTGTTGTGTTATACTTGATGTGAACTTGTGTTTATACAAAATTTACTTGTATGATTTTATGTTAAATCTCAAATAAATGCCTCCTTGTATGAGTTTAATTTTTTAAAAAAAAGGAAAAGTAGATAAATTTGACTTAGAATTTAAAATGTTTTCTGAAAAGACACTTAAAAAGACATGTCACAGACTGGGAGGAAATACTTATAAAACATAACTAGTAAGACTGATAAAAAGATTATTAGAAGAAAACTCTACTAAGAAAATGGAACCCACATTTTAAAACTGGACAAAAGATGTAAAAACTTTATCAAAAAAGATATACATATGGCAAATAAGCACATGCAAAGATGCTCAACACTGTAGTCATCAGAGTGTTCACTAAAACCAGAATGAGAGAGTCCTATACACCTGGGTCTCCTTTTTCTGCCTGCTTTCTTTCTCCTAGTCTTCTCAACTATCTCCTACCTGTTCAGCTCTACCCTCACTTGGGTAGGGCCAGAAAACTGGAACCTCCCCTTTCTCTTAGGACCTCTGAGAACCTCCCCTGTCTCTGAGGACCTCCAGGGTAATGATCCAGATGATTTAAAATTTAAAAAGCTGGCAATACCAAGTGTTAGTAAGGATGTGGAACAACTAGACATATGTATGGAACCAACTCTACTCATATTATTAGGAGGAAAGGATACTCTGTACAAACTCCACACAGGTTTTGGGGACCCCACGCCCACTCCTGACAAAAGCCATCAAGACTCCGGGAACTATAAATCCCACATCACCGAAGGAAGGATTGCTGGGTCCTGTGGGTGGAATTAGGCAGCCAAGTTTGGTATAAAGCCAGACATGTGGGCCTTGGGGGCACTCTTGCTCTGTTGGCTTTTGGGTCTCTCGGCTCTTCGTTTCTTGCCTCTTGGCTTTTCGCTGGCTCTCAGCATTCCATTGGATTTCAGGTCAGCGGAACTGGTAGGATACAATTTACCAATTTATCTCCCTCTTTTTCTCCCTGAAATATTCATTTTTTCATTTCCCCTTCTTTTATAAATAAACCCTTTACTAACCTTTTTGTGTATGTCTGCCGTTGAGTATTACTGTAAGTTACTTTAAATGCACTGCTGAGGACCCATAATCAGGCAACCCATTTCATATCAGGGTTACCCTATAACAGTAAGAGGAATCCCTGGATGAATTCTGTAGTAGAAGTGCTGTAGATCCACTGTGTTTTGCTTTTCAGCATATAATTTTGTACTCCACTTCCCCACCCCCACCATCCTACCACAGCTGACCAAGACCAGAGAGAGATGCCATCCCAGAGTACCCAAAACCTGGGCTGGCCAAAAGCTGAGACTAACATGACTCCCTCTCAAAAGATGTTAACTAGGAAAACAAATACAAACAATTATGTTTTCACTTTGTTTCCTGGCAAGAATGCAAAATGGTATAATCACTCGGGGGAAATAGCTTAGCAGTTTCTTACAAAGTTAAACATACACTTATCATGTTCCAGTATAGTGTAAACCTTGACAGTTGGCTTTTGTTTTTGTAGTTCAAGTGTGTGAGTCAAGCTTTGATGCTTGGGTATTTACTTCAAAGAGAACCTGCTCCAATAAACCACTGCCAGCCATGTGACTACATAGTCAGGTTGCCTCCCCTCTGAGGCTCCTTTGTTTTACAGCTCTTCATGAACTTAAACAACTGGTTATTTGGTTTTTCTTTTTCTTTCTTTCTCTTCCCATGCTTTCAGTTTCCACTCTTTGTTTTAAATTCATCAACAGTGAGCTCAAAATTTCTAAACCTCCACTCTCCATCCCAATAAAAGCAGGATCCCCAGGTGCATTCATTCATGAACACAAACTCACTCTCTCTTCCCCACCTTTTTTAATAATAGTTCTTTATGGTTATTCTTGAAGGGAATATTGCAATCCTAGTATAAGGAACGTCCAGCCACAACATTGGTTTTGATAGACTAAAAGTGGCACAAAACATCCTGCAATTATCTTTCTAAGAAATTACCCCAGAGACTTAACCACAGAACACTTATGCCCACACAAATACCTGGACATGAAAGCTCTTAGCAACCTTTTTCCTAATAGCCTAAAACAACAAAGTGCCCAAATGTCCTGATTAACTGGGAAATGGATAAACAAAGTATGGCCTATCTATACAAAGGTCACAAACAAGCAATTAAAAAGGAAAAATTAATAACACTCAACAACACAGATGAATGAGAAGCAAATTTTGCTCACTAAAAGAAGCCAAACACAATACTGTATGCTGTAGTACAATTCCATTTATATGGCATGCTAGAAAAGAAAAAAAAACATAAAA